TCGGGTGCTCCCTCCCCCTCCAAATATTCAGGTTTGCCGTGAGAGACGCGTCCGCCCTTAACGTTCTCTGGGCCCTGGCAGGATACATAATCTTCAAAGTTAAAACTTTGGAGAACTCGCTGAGCCCATCTCAAACTGCGTTGGATTGAAGCACTCGTGCCGTTCTCCAATACTCCTAGCGGTTCTTGTGGTTCCAGTGCACCACTTGCACCTTATGTTGGTGCACCAAATTAGCAGGTGCCTCCATTTCCGGGAAAGCCTCATGAATAGCAAGAAGTTCTCGGTCATCACGTGAATTCCTCTCGGATTTGTTCAGTTTCCGCGAAAAAAAAGGCACACCGGTCTCCACTCTGACCCCTCCTTCCCTGGCTGCAGAAGAAGCACCGCCCCTATTGGCTCTGTCTTGATGCGTCTGTTTCGACCCTCATCTTTTTTGTAAGTCCACATGCAGAAGTTGTTCTTCCGAGGCGAAGGCCTTTTCAAGTTTCCTCAAAGGCTCGCTCCGCCTCCTCAGTCCAAACGAATTTTCTTCTTACTGCTGAGACAGTCCGTAATGGGCGCCGTCAGGTGGGGCAAAGTTTCGAATGAACTTACGATAAAAGTTCCCAAACCCTAGAAACCTCTGCAAATCCTTCTTTGTTTTGGGGTGTTTTCCATTCCAGCACTGCCTGGACCTTGCCGGGATCCATGGCCAATCCCTTGTCTGACAGGCGGTACCCCAGAAACTCCACCTCCTTGGTATGAAACTGACACTTCTCCAGTTCACCCACAACCGGTTGGCCTGCAGCCTGCTCAACACTTCTCTGACGTCTCTTACATGTTGCTCCTCATTCTCAGAATACACCAACACGTCATCTAGGAAGGCCACACAATTCTTGTACAGTAAAGGCCCCAGTACGTGGTTCATAAAAGCTTGGAAGCACGCCGACCCTGCTTGTAATCCAAATGGCATAACTAAGTATTCAAATGCCCCTAAAGGGGTGAACATTGGTGGTTTTCCATTCATCCCCTTTCCTTATTACGTATCAGATTGTACGCCCCCCTTAGGTCCAGCTTTGTAAAAATCTTTTCCCTTCCGCACCCTGGTCAAAATGTCGTCAATCCGGGGCATTGGGAAAGCCAATGGTTCTGACACTGCGTTTAACCCCCTGAAGTCACACACCAGTCTCGGCTTGTCCGTGTTTTTTTTATCCACAAAAAACACTGGGCTACCTCCCACCGCTCTGGACTCTCTGATGAAACCTTCTCTTCAGGTTCTTGTCAATGAACTCCCTTAGCTCCTGCAATTTCTCTGTCTGACATGGCGTACAACTTGCCTACAGGAAGCTGTGCCCCAGGGAGTAAATTGATTTGACAGTCAAAGGGTCTATGCGGGGGGTAGTTGGTCAGCTTCCTTCTCGCTGAACACGTCGCTGAGATTCTGCGTATTGTCGTGGTACCTTCACTTTCTCCATTACTTCCGTCCCTGCTAGGGTGGCATGGGCCCCTGCTGAACCCTTCCCCCTTTGCAGTGTTCTAGCAATGTGCTGAACTAAAGGAAACCACTCTCTGATGCCAGCCCACCAGCGGATCATGTAACGCTAGCCAGCTCATCCCCAAAATAATAGGGGCTCCTCCCAAGGTGGCCACATTAAAAGCTATCAGTTCGGTGTGCCTTGCCACCTTCATTATCATTGGGACGGTCTGCAAGCTGACTTCTCCTCCCAACAACTCCTGCCATCGATCGTGGTCACCTGCAGGGGGTTGCTTAAAGGGATAGTCTGTATCTGGTGTTCAGCTGCAAACTCCTTGCTTATGAAATTGCAGGAGCTGCCTGAATCCAACAGCGCCTTTATCTTTAAGGGGTATCCGTTTTGCAGCTCTAGCGACACTTCAATCACTAAGGCAGGTTTAGGAGGTTCTGGCGTGGGCACTTTCACTGCTCTTTGGCCTGGTTGCTGTGCCCCGACGGTGGCAACCAGGCGTTGGCTTTTACTTGCTCCGGTTTCTCCTCCTCTCTACCCTCAACAGCTCCCACCATCCCTTGCCATTCCTTCCTCTGGGGGCAGACTCGGGCAAAGTGACCTGGCTGTTGGCAGAGATAGCATTTCCGGGCGCCCTTTCCCTCCTTCTTTCCCCCTTCACTGGGCTTTGAAACTGCGCGCGCACGCGCTGTTCCGATTTCCATCGGCTCTGCCGGCGGGAAAGTTGTTTCTGGAATGTCTGGAATGCGGAACTCCTTCCAACGTTCCCCCTTCCCTTCCCGCCTCTCCAAACCTCTCGCCTCCTGGCGCGCTCCTATGGTCAGCGCAGATTTGCTCAGCTGATCCATAGAATCCGCCCTGGGACCCCTGGCCAGTTCATCTTTCACCACCGGAGCCAGCCCTTCTTCAAATAGCATCTGAATGGGTTCCGCCGATAAGTCCCACCCCAATCTGTGAACCAGCATGGTGAACTCAGTCCAGTACTCACGGACAGATCGGCTCCCCTGTTTGCAAGCCATTAGCTGCCTGCGTACCACTCCCTGCTCAATATCGCTGGAAAACATCAGATCCATGGCACGAAAGAACTTCATTGTGTCCTTTAGGATGGCACTATTCGTTGCCATCATGGGTCTCACCCAATCCCGTGCTCCCTTTTCAAGGTGCCCAATCACGTAAGCCACTCGCGATTCCTCGTCAGGGAATTCATCAAACTGCACATTGAGGGCATATTGCATCTCTGTTCTAAAGGCATGGTAGTCCTTGGGGTCCCCCCCAAACTTCTGCACCAATCCTGGTACCTTTCTGGGGAACTGGGTGGCTTTTTCCCCTTTTGTCTGCATCCTGAGCCCTTCTCTAGCCTTGCCGTCTGCAGCGCCAGCTGGATCTCCAACGCCCGGTAGCTCTCCTCCAGGCTTGGCCCTGCTCCAGCTCCTGCCTGCCCGGTTCCGGCTGGGTCGCTCATGATGCCTTCTCCTGCACAAACAGCTTACAAACACTGTCGGAATGCTGTGATGGGATGATGAGCTGCTTGTGCGTAAAAATCGTAATCCCTCAGAGTTTGTTCAAGCCCACAAACTTCTGTCTGTGACAGAGCCCCTCAGACATGGCTGCTCTAGTCACTTGCAGATTCCGACAGTGGTTGCTTTCGGAATCGTTTCCAGCATAAAAGCTCCTTAACGGAAACACGTCTTCTGGACTCACGGCGTGACAGTTTCCGGCGAGGAGTGGGTCTCCCTATGGGAGCTTCAGATACCCCCCCACTGCTCTCGCTGGAAGAGTCCCTGAGCCCTCCCCCCTGCTCGCTTTCCCTCAGAGATCCACCTCTCCCCTTGCTAGTTCCTGCTTCAGCTGCTGAGTCTCTCCCAGCCTGCGTGAGCCCTTCCACCAGAGACCCACCTCTCCCTCTGCTGGTTCCTGCTTCAGCTGCTGAGTCTCTCCCAGCCTGCATGATCCCTTTCACCACCGGTTCCTCCGATGGCAGTTCCCTGACATCTGCCATTCACCCTAAGGTCCTAGGGCTAGGTCACATCATTAAAACATACCGTATTTGTCGCCCTATAGGGCGCACTGGCCCATAGGACGCACCTCATTTTTTTTGGGGGGGGAAATGAATAAAAAAAATATTTCCCCCACCAGCTGCGGGGCTGGGGCAGGGGAAGCCCGAGCTTCCCCCGACCCCAGCCCCAGATCAGGCTGCTATCCGCTTGCCCCGTGCTCCAGGCTGCAGGCTGCCGCCCACAAGCCTTGCGCGCCCAGGGAACTCCTCCTGGGCATGCAAGGCTCGCGGACCCCTGTGCGAAGCACGGGGCATCCTCCGGAGGTGCTCCGGGCTGCAGGCTGCCGCCCGCAAGCCTTGCACGCCCGCGGGAACTCCCGCCGGGCGCACAAGGCTTGCGGATTGCTTCCTGAGGCATGGAGAGCGAGAGGGGTCAGTGCGCACTGACGCCTCTTGCTCTCCAGGCTTCAGCGAAAACCTGCATTCGCCCCATAGGACGCACACACATTTCCCCTTCATTTTTGGAGGGGAAAAAGTGCGTCCTATAGGGCGAAAAATACGGTAACATTTAAACCAGCTTAAAACAACTCTGTGGTTGATCCACAACCAGCTGAAGACTGCTTCTATTTCTATAGACTCCTTCTATTTCTGATATACAGGTGTGGGTGCCAATACAGTGGTTCCTTGCTTCTCAAACTTAGTCCATTCCAGAAGTCCGTTCCAAAACCAAAGCGTTCCAAAACCAAGGTGCGCTTTCCCATAGAAATCAATGCAAAACGGATTAATTCGTTCCAGACTTTTAAAAACAACCCCTAAAGCAGCAATTTAACATGAATTTTACTATCTAACGAGACCATAAAATGAAAGCAATAAAAAATGTACTGCAATCACACAGTCAGTCAGTAGCTGAACTGGGTTCCACACAGTCACCAAAAAAAGAGCTGCAAAAAGAAAAACGCAAAATAAATAGCAAAAACAGACAGACCTCAGCGTAACACTCAAAACGGAAGCGTAACACTCAAAACAGAGCACATTCGGCTTCTGAAAAAATGTTCGCAAACTGGAACACTTAATTTCTGGGTTTGCAGTGTTTGGGTTCCAAGTTGTTTGAGTACCAAGGCATTTGAGAACCAAGGTACCACTGTACTTATGCAGTCAACACAGCTCTATCTGAAATGGATATTGAATAACAGTATCCGTGAGTTTAAAAAAAATAATGTATAATTAAACTCTTAAAAACTATTTTAAGTAAAATAGGTGGAGCACTCTTTCCTGGGAGAAACACTCAAAAATTGTTCAGCAAAATAAAAAACCAAACAAATTCCTAGCAAGAGAGGTCTTACATAGAATAAGGTTGTTGAAAATCCTGACAAAAAACTGTTTGCTCTTTTGTTTCTTTCTTGACTATAACCTGAAGGACTATAACCTTGGTTGACCGATAAACATCTGATTGACAAAAACCCGTTCGTCATTCCCATCTGCCTTCTCTCTTTTCTCCTTTCCCGCTGGGCCCACACCTCCATTTTTTCATCTCGTCCCTTCAGAGAGTTACAGTGCAGAAGACAAGTACAAAATTTGGATGAGGCATCGATACAACAGTTGCGTACATTGTTTGGGGGAACTGATGGGCCATGAGTCTTTCCAAGTCCAGGTGAGTTTTGCTGGGGTGATGAGTTTGGCTACATGACTCTGCTGTCAGGGAGAAAGGCGGGGTATAAATAAATGTATAGGCAGCCCCTGTTTATGCAAGTTTATAGCTTTGTAAACAAGCATTTTGGTTTCCCTGCGAATGTCCCAGTCCTCAAACACTCTGCACTTCAATCGGGAGAAAGCCGCACTCACAGAGCTCAGGCAATGCTGGATTTCGGCATTAATGTTGGCCCTTGTGGAAAGATAACTGCTAAGAGGAAGGTACACTTGGCAGATCCACACTGTGATCGACTCCTGCCTGGAAACCAATGTCCCCACTGTGGAAGGACGTGTGGATCCAGAATTGGCCTCCACAGTCACTTACGGACTCATTGTTAAAACCGTGTTTATGGAAGACAATCTTACTTGGCTATGAGTGATCGCCAAAGAAGAAGAAGAAGCAAGTTTAATATGTGCACAAGCGTGTATATGCTCATTGCTCCAAACCTGGAAGAGACTTGGAAATGTCATAAAGGCGTCACTGGAAAGGGTGGAGTGGGGTGTTTGCAGGCTTTTTCAATGGGTTTCAATTATACACAATTTCACTGGTGCGTGCAGTGACTTGGAATATAGCCCCTGCGTAAACGGGAAGCTGCTTGTAATAAAAATAAAATAACAATAATTTATTATTTATACCCACCCATCTGGCTGGGTTTCCCTAGCCACTCTGGGCGGCTTCCAACCAAATATTAAAAACAATACAGCGTCAAGAATGCTTGGGAAGGAGGCCGGCCGGGCAGAATGACCATCACGACTTAAGACTGTGGCTGCATTCGCACGTGCATTGCATCAGTTTAACTGATTATAAGGCTAGCTCTTCTGTCCTGTTTCCTGATGTTCTCTTTCCTTCTCCCCCTGTTTATTTAAAGGAATCTGCCCTCTGCACCCTGATGAAATTTGTTGAATTGGAAGCCAAGCACCCTCTGGTCAAGAACGAGTGGCGGTTTAACTTCCCGCGAGAACTTTTAAAAGTAAGTCGCTTTTGATACCATCGACCATAACATCCTTCTGGACCATCTAGAGGGGCTGGGAGCTGGGGGCTCTGTTAGCAGCGGTTCCACTCCTTCCTCCTGGGCTGTGTTCAGAAAGTGGGGGGGGATGAGTGTTCAGACCCTTGGGCTCTCACTTGTGGGGTGCCTCAGGGCTCCATCCTCTCCCCATGCTTCTTAACATCTACATGAAGCGGCTGGGAGAGATCATCGGGGTTTTGGCTGGGTGTTCACCAGTATGCGGATGTTACCCCAGCTCTGCCTCTCCTTTAAATCAGAACCGCTGAAGGTGGTGAATGTCCTGTGAGGGTGGTTGGAGGTGTTTGGAGGATAGATGGTGGTTAACAGATTGAGGTTGAATCCAGACAAAGTTGTTTTTTGGGGGGATGGGGTGGGCGGGTGTGGGGGACTCCCTGGTCATGACTGGGGTAACTGTGCCTCTGAAGGACCAGGTGCGCAGCCTGGGAGTCATTTTGGACTCACAGCTCCCTTTTTGCCATCACTTATTCCCTCTTCGTCTCTGAAGATTTGTTTATGGTCCAATTTGGGATTAACATAAAGTACTCCCCCCCCCTTTTCTTCTTCTTTAAGCATATGAATTCTGTCCTAATCCTTTATTTAACAATCGTCTTCTATGTTGTCTCTTTATACAGGTTGCTTTGTAGCAAATAACAGCTAGTTTTTGTCTCGCCAAAATATGTGTAATCGTAATTTGTCAGTTTTTATTGTTCAAACCATTAACATTCTGAGAGAGCAATTTTAAATCCATCATTGATTCTTTTTATACAGCTTAAAGTCATTTTAAAAATTTGTAATGACCTTATTTACTATCTTCTTCCTCCCGCTATTCCACCTGCTTATCTCATAGTTCCTTTTTGTATTTCCTCCAAAATGCTTCTGATTTTATTGGCTCTACACATCTTTGCTTTATATGTAAAAGAAAGTCCTTCTGGATATTCCCTTCTCACAGATCATCCTTTGTCCTCTATTGGCCTGTTTTAGGGTTCTTCCCTCTTGGCGTATTTTGTTCCCTTAAGCATCCTTTTATCACCCTCTTTTTTGAGGGAGCTTAAGGATTGGCACTAAGAAAGCAAGTTTGTTGTTTGTGTATCGCAAGCCAGCTCACACGTGGCTCTCCAGATGTTGCAGAACCCCTAACATCCATAAGTTCTGACCATAAAGGTAAAGGTAAAGGGACACCTGACCATTAGGTCCAGTCGTGGCCGACTCTGGGGTTGCGGTGCTCATCTCGCTTTGTTGGCCGAGGGAGCCGGCGTACAGCTTCCGGGTCATGTGGCCAGCATGACTAAGCCGCTTCTGGCGAACCAGAGCAGCGCACGGAAACGCCGTTTACCTTCCTGCCGGAGAGGTACCTATTTATCTACTTGCACTTGGACGTGCTTTTGAACTGCTAGGTTGGCAGGAGCTGGGACCGAGCAACGGGAGCTCACCCTGTCGCAGGGATTCGAACTGCCAACCTTCTGATCAGCAAGTCCTAGGCTCTGTGGTTTAACCCACAGCGCCACCCACGTCCCTCCTAGTTCTGATACCTCGCAAGAAAAGGGAAAAGTTGACAGCTATGGTTCCGACCATTATCCATGCTGCCTGGGAATGATGGGAGCTGGACTCCATCAACATTGTTGGACAGCCACACACGTTTTGTGGCATAGGTAAAGGTCCATTTGGGTCAGCATTTTTGTTCCAGCTAACCAAATGGCCTGGGAGGTATGCAAGCATGTAGGAAGGCCTTGCTTTGCTTGGTTGCTTGTTTTCATAGTACATGGCATTCAGAGATACACTGTCTCTGAAAATGGAGGTTCTGTTTGAGCAAGAAACTGCATCTCGGTGAAATGGGTGGAGTGTTGAGTGCAAAGGGATGGGTGGATGATGGTTTAGCTGATCTTGCCTGCTGATCTCCTGGCTTCCTTTCCTTGCATTTTTCTTTTAAAAATTATTTTTTGCTAGGTGGTTGTGGATGGCTTAATCCCGGTGGAAGACAATTCTTCGCTCTTGATTTCTCGCTTCCAAGAATACTTGGAACGTGACGATGTCCGGTTCTTTGTGATGAAGTCAGTGGCGGAAAACGTGGGTAGCGTCATGCCGAAGACCAAAAAAGGTACTGGAAAATGTCAGCCGGCTTCAATGAAGAAGCTGAGCCCAGGGTGGAGCCTTGTAAATGATGAGGCATGTCCATATAGATGAACAGGTGGTGCTTGTCAGATAAGGGTCAGTCTCCAAAGTCTGCAATCTCCAGGAGCAGAGAAGAATATAATAATAATAATAATAATAATAATAATAATAATAATAATAATAATAATATTTATTTATACCCCACCCATCTGGCTGGGCTTCCCCAGCCACTCTGGGCGGCTTCCAACAAAATATTAAAATACCGTAATACATCAAACGTTAAAAGCTTCCCTAAACAGGGCTGCCTTCAGATGTCTTCTAAAAGTCTGGTAGTTGTTCTTCTCTTTGACATCTGGTGGGAGGGCGTTCCACAGGGCAGGTGCCACTACCGAGAAGGCCCTCTGCCTAGTTCCCTGTAACTTGGCTTCTCGCAGTGAGGGAACCGCCAGAAGGCCCTCGACGCTGGACCTCAGTGTCCGGGTAGAACGACATTATTATTAGTAGTAGTATTAGTAGTAGTACGCTGCCCATCTGACTGGGTTGCCCCAGTCTCTGAGCGACTTTCAACATATATAAAAACATAATAAAGCATTGAACATTTAAAACTTCCAGATAAAGGGCTGCCTTCAGATGTCTCCCAATGCATTTTTTTTTTACTTCTTTCTTTTTTACATGCACAGACTACTTATTATAATGATGAAAAATTCAGCTTGGAGAAATGCGCTAGGAAAGCATGGTTCTAAAGCAACAGTCGCATGAAATCATGTTGTTAGTAGTCGGATTACTTTTACTCTTATTATTATTACTACTACTATTTAGGGTTAATGGCTTCTAAACAGTTCACAAATTAAAAAAACAATTGCAGATTGGCAACACCCTTCACCAAAACACCGGATGATTCTCAGCACATGGTAACATGGAGGCAGGCTTTTTGCATCAAGAGAGGAAGATGTAGCCTTCTCTGAGTTGGGGAGAAATTTAACCGCTCATTAAAATAAATTGCGAGAAATGTTTTTGCCAGCTCTGTTAGGAATAAGGAGGGACATTTTGCTTGTTGCCGGGAAAAGATTCCCCATGCTGCTTTTTTGATGCTTGTGATCACTGCCCAAAGCGGGGGACTCGCACAACACCCTTATCTTGAAATTGGAGGCTTCAAGTTGGGTTCTCCCCCCACCCCATATATATTTTTATTGAGTTTCCATTTTTAACAATATTATAACATCATATCACCTTTTACAAATTTTAGCTCTGCTGATCTTTTGACTTCCCTCCATTCCATCATTTGGTTTTTATAGAACACAACTTAAATCCGCACATTTATAACCGTCGAAAATTCTACATTTATCTTAAATTATTTAAAAACCTAAAGCACAAGTAGAAGGTTTATTCTTTTAAACGTTGCGAGCTTAATCGCTGTCCTGCTAGTGTCTTTATATGGTTACAATGATGGGTCTGTGTATTGAACAAATTTACTCCACTCTCCCTGGAACGCTTGGTCCCTCTGGTTTCAGATTCTCCCTGTCAGCTTTGCCAATTCCACATACAGTGGTACCTTGGTTAAGTACTTAATTCGTTCCAGAGGTCCGTACTTAACCTGAAACTGTTCTTAACCTGAAGCACCACTTTAGCGAATGGAGCCTCCTGCTGCTGCCGCGCTGCCGGAACATGATTTCTGTTCTCATCCTGAAAGCAAAGTTCTAACCTGAAGCACTATTTCTGGGTTAGCAGAGTCTGTAACCTGCAAGCATATGTAACCTGAAGTGTATGTAACCCGAGGTACCACTGTAGTCCATCATTTTTGTCTGCCATTTGGTATCGTCGGTAATTCTTGCTGCTTCCACTTCTGGGCTAATAAAATTCTAGCTGCTGAAGTAGCATACATAAACAATTTTTGGTCAAACTTTTAATATTTCCACTCCTTTCATCCCCAAGAAGAATGTTTCCGGTTTTTGGGGGAAAGTAATAATCTAAACTTTTTTTTTAACTCAATGTAAATATTTTCCCAAAATACTTTAACTTTATCACAAGTCCACCACATACGATACAAAATCATCCTCTTTAACGTTACATTTCCAACAATTCTTATTACTCATTTTAATACATCTTAGCTAATTTAGTTGGGTGTTAAATACCATCTATGCATCATGTTTCATTATAGTTTCTTTTCAATGCCATGCATGCATGTGAATTTAATTCCATCATTCCATAACTTGGACCAGGCTTCGAAATTTAATATTATGTCCAAAGTCCTTTGCCCATGTTAATCACCACTCTTTAACCTCTTCATCTTTTGTATGCCGTTCTAAGTCATTGCATTTTTGGATAAGATTTTTATTTTTCCTCCCCACAATTCGGTTTCTAGCTTAGATCTAAAAGTTTCAAGGCCATTCTTCCTATTATCCTTTTTAAACACATCATTTATTAAATGATATTGCATTCAAGTTTGGTTCTTTGTGTGTCTTCCCACGATACAACAATGGTGGGGTTTTTCTTCTTCTGCAGGTGCCACTTCCAGTGTACCAGAAAAACGCCTTTGCCCTCATTTCATCTATTTCCATGCCGAGCGAGGAGAGCGAGATACAGAACTTCCTAGTGAGAAACAGTGAGTGAAATGTGGCAGCTGCTCGTTCGGACATATTTGTGTTAGGACTGGGGCGCTTTGACCCACGCAGCCCCCCTAAAGTGCTTAGCGACTCTACCTTGCCAGCCGTTGGAGATTTCAGTGAGGCAGCCCAAGGGCCACATTCACTTGAGAGCAGCTTTCTAGGGGCCTCAGGCTAGGGATGGGCAGGATCAGAGGCAAAAGTGACCAGAGC